GGGGCCGGACCAAATGTGGAGGCGGGCCGCATCCAGCCCGCGGGCCGTAGTTTGGGGACCACTGTACTACATGATCCGAAGTTGTCATGAGCTAGTTCAAGGATTTTAAAACATATTTTAAGAACAATAGAGAAATCATCAGTTTTCTTGTTTTATTTTCTGACTTTATTTGATATTTTAGGTTTATTTACTGTATACGTAGAAATGCCAATGATCTGCTTTGTTATGGCAAACAGACAACAGGTTGTTCTATGTTGTGACAATACTGTCACCTTGTATGTTTGCTTTAAACAGTTAAAAATGAGACTATCAATGACATCTACTTGTAGAAATGAACGTAAAGAGTTGTTCTGCTAAAATAAGAAACAAATCTTTCTTTTTTTTTGCCTGATCAAGACTGGATATATAGCAGTTTAGTGATGCTTACTCTTAACGAGCCAAAAGACCAAACCAAAAGACACCAATGCAAACCCTAGAGCGTCACTAAACTCCAGCAGTACATCCAGTCTACATTGTGGACGGAGCAGTGGCAAGCAGCCAATCACGTCACTGTAATCTGTTCCATCCAGACTGACTGAGAAATGCTGCCGCAGTTAGTCTGACCTCTGCTGATCTGCTCTGCTTTCCTCAACCTGACCTTCAGATTATTTCAGTCAACACAAGGCAAAGTGAATAGTAGCTGTTACTACAAGAGTGAAAACTACAGAATAAATTGAATCATTTGCCTTCTTTCAGAATGTTTTAGGCTGGGTGTTTCCTCTCTTTGTCTCTTCTTCTGGTGTTGAAGTTGTGGAAGTCGTAGACATGACAAACTCTGGGAGGTTAAGAACTAAAGTCAAAGTCTCAGATCTCTGTTTCTACATGTAAACCTCATCCCTAAAGAGTTTTACTAAAGCAACAGAATGCTGCTGAGCCACTGGTGAGTAAACACACAGCTGGTGGTTATTTCCTGTAATTGATCCCATTAGGCGTGAAAAGCTCTGGATTAAACTGTACGGAACAAGAAGTCTCAGCTGCTGGGCTCGACTCCTTACCTAGTTACCTCTGAACTCATGGCCTTTGGACAACTTGCACAAGACACACAGCAACCTGTTGGGCAATGGGAGTGTTAGTTGGAGGTGCAACCCGGAGGCTGTTGGGAACTCTGAAGGAGTTTGCGCTCCAAAAAAACTCGTCTCTATGCATAAAGAAAGCCAGCAACCACAGAAAGACAAAGGCAGAGGGTGCACTGGTCAGGAATGTTGTGTCTATCATAAAAATAATGAGACACATTACTGTGAATACAGCATCCTACAGTGAAGCATGGTGGTGGCACCATCATGTTATGGGGCTGAAATCTGAAAAGCTAGTTGATGAATGGAGATAAATAAAAGCTTGTCCCATCCTCCCAGCAGGACAACAACCCTGTCGTCTCTATCAAAATTGAGTAACAAACATTGCTGCTTTTGAGTAAAGTTACTGACTCGGACGTAAAAGTGCGTCTATTCTTACCTGTCTCCTTTCACGACGAGACAGAGGATTCCCATTCAGGATCTTCCACAACATGCGCCCCGCGATGGTGGTGTCAATCCACAGCAGCCTGAAGCCATGGTAGTAGTGCTTGATTTCGTCGATGACCCGCTGCCGGATCGTCCGTCTGACGGGCTCAACGTCCAGTGTGGGGCTGTACACGGGCCCGCCTTCCTCCAGCTTCATTTTTTTGTCTTTTAAGGATTTTAGGGATTTCTCCAATTTTGAGTCATCCCATCGTCTCCTTGAGGTGTGTATCCACCTGACGCCTGGGAAGTACTGAGGTGAGCCTGTCGTACGCCAGGCCGGATTGGAGGAAGCCGCGGCAAATGCACAGTACGGTCGCTGTGGGTCCAGATTCTGACAGGGTGCCATGTATTCATCGGACAGGGGGCAGGATGGGCTGACGGAGAAGACACGGGTCAAGCTGCCGAGCTGGAGAACGTCAAGCCTGTCAATACAAAAGGATACAAACATATTTTAAATCTTCGTCTGCATGATAGAAAAAGGTTGTGTCAGGTAGTTTAATTTCATAAGAGAGCGATTGGATTGGCTTACTTTTGACTGGTGAGTCTGAGAGTTGTGCAGTTGAAACAGGAACCATTCTGTAGTTTACCTGAAACAAAATACTATGAGAATTTGGCCAGCAAAATAATATATAAAAAAAAAAAAACACAACGAACACTCAGAGTTAACAAGAATTCATCTCATGGTTCTGATTGGCAAATCCGTCACAAGCAATCTCTTCAAGGTCTGATGTATATGTATAGCCATATTCAATAAATTGGAATATGCATTCTGATGAGGTTCATTTGTCAAATTAAAAGTAGCTTTTGAAAATAAATCAAAACGATATCGATCGCGAAAGACTTTATCAATATCAGTAGAAAAAAGGTCAGATAGAACGTTCAACAATTTTACTGAACTCCGATCCAGAACAGCACAGCATTCTGTGGGATGAAGGCAAAGGAAAAACTTTAGCTGCTCAACCTCTTACGGCTAGCTAAGAATGGTGAGAGGCATCAACTGACTCACTCACTCTTTGGTTACCTAGCAACGACCTGTTGAGTAACATGCGCAGCAGCAGTCTCCATTTGCCTCAAAACTGCTGAATAATGAAAAACTATGATGAAGTGAAGGCAGTAATATTCTAATTTTAAATGCCTTGTTTTCATAACCTCCAAACAGAAAATCATCATACTTAATACAAAAACATGCTTTCAAACATCCATCTGTGTTTAATTAATCTGCATCATGTATTTCTGTTGGGGATAAAGTTCCTGAAATACATGGACTTTTTAGTAATATTCAAATTTATTATTTGAATTGGTCTGTTGTGTCTTATTACAGTATTCACACCCCTTATATTTTTGCAACTGTAAAAGCCGTGGAAAGTGCATGTGCAAAGTGCAACTTCGAGATGGTTGAATACATATGCATGTAAAAGTTTACCCGCTTTTTACTTTTATCTGCATCACATAAAATCCAAATCAATTTTGCGGATGTAACAGAACAAAATGTGAATAGATTTAAGAAGAGTGAATAATTTCCAAACCTATTGTATTGATCTTTCTGAATTTATTGAGGAAATGATAGAAGTGCTCATCCCCACCAGGTAAGCAATAAGAGACTAGTAAGTCACAGCCCAGTGTCTTAGGCAACCATTTATCAATGAATACATAACAGAAACTTGCTGAACTTTCTCACTTTGCTGGAGGCTTTAGCAGGTCATCACACTGCTACTGTAATATCCAAACATATGTGATGCTAAATTCAAGAGCAGACTGCCTCTTATCCCCCAATAGTCCGGCTCCTTGATGAGCATATAATTAATAAATATAGTTTAGAACTCTCAAATCTATGCCAAATTCATAAAACATTATCATTATTCTGTTAAACAGAATATTCACACCCAGAGGCCCACAGCCGGGTTCACTAACTCCAGTGAGAGCAAAGGTGGAGTCCTGGGTCTCTTCCACCCAATGGCGTGAGGACGGTGAACTCGACCACGCCCGTTCTCTGCCTCTCACATGGCCGGCTGGAGCGGATCCAGCAACGTCTGGCTGAACATGATCGCTAGGAGGACGTAGAGATTACTGGAACAGCGTCCACTCTGCGACCGAGCGCCCACCTACTGTAACAAGCAGAAAAGCCTGGAAGTACAGTAGAGTAGATTACGCAACGGTGCAGCTCTTGTTTGTGTCGTTCTGCCTCCCTCTGGCCTACTGGGTGACTCCCAGCCACTGCTGAATGGATGTAAGGAGATCAAACTGGAACCTACACTCCGTCATCATTATCACCATTCTTTACGTGCTCTTAAAGAAAACACTGAAAGTAAGCTTTGTTGTTAACTAGTTATGTTAGTGTGTTTATACTAGATTTTGTCCAGAGCAAAAAACAACTGAATCCTATATTCCAGCTGCACTTAATTTCTCAAAACAGAGAAGATCTATAAACACACTGGATGCAGGGTTTCCCCTCAGTGTATTATAAGCCTCGTGGGCCTCCAGACTTTACTTGCATCCCCACCAGGCTAAGCATTGTTTGTTTGTCTATTACAGTGATCCCTCGCTATAATGTGGTTCACCTTTCGGGGTCTCGCTGCTTTGCGGATTTTTTTGTGCAGTTTTTTTTCACAGTGCATTGTGTTCTGCGTCCTGATTGGCTAAACAGTCGCCGAGCTCCTTCTCTACCTGTGTGCTAATAACGTTACGGTATTTAAATATAAGTAATACAGATTGGCCATTCAGGAGATGAAAGCTGAAAACTTTGAATGCCTGCTGGAAAAAACTGTGGCCAGAGGCAGCGCAAAACCCGACCGGAGGCTCGCTTGACAAGATCCATCGCTCTGCCGTAAATACAGCTGTGAATCTCGCGGAGCAGGTTGGAGGAGACGCTTTAATAACATGACTCCAGATCACATTAAGGCCCAATTGATGAACACGCACATCCGCTGACCTGAAAACAGGTTTTGTTCTTTGGTTTCAATGTAGAGTATTTAATTATCCTGTGTAATAATTGTAAAAACTAAAGGTAACTACATTGCGGATTTCGATTATCGCGAGTTATTTTCGGAACGCAACCCCCGTGAAAAATGAGGCATCACTGTATAGGTTTTTTTATACACCAGTAACAGTGATAGCAAAGACGGGTTAAAGAGTTTCTTTGTTGGAATGGTTGGAAGCACAGTGGTAACATGGTATGGTCAGTATGAGTACACAGAGGGAGACTGAGGTCAGTTTTTCTTTTTGTTTTTAATTCACTGGAACTCAGTGTTGCTCTAGCGCCCCCTACTGCCAGACTTAGCAAGTTTTCTGGAGGAAACCTTGGGATGACTGGAATCAGATGATTTTTATCTCGGTAGACCCCAACTGGTGACAATGAAATCCAATCTTTTTCTGATTAGTGAACACACTATGCCAAACTTCTACCAGGGTGCACCAACAACAACAGCTCTCTTCAGTGTGGACACCGTTACAGAGGGAAGAAGACTCAATTAACTATTTTGAGCGAATGAGGTGTTTAACACATAGAAGTAGAAAATTATTTATAGGTTCATGGGTATGTCAGCTGTCTATTGAGGATGCTACTGAAAAAAGTCTGAACTATCTATTAGTCATGTCCCACTTTTGGAGATTTGGTAGGAATATTACCTGCTCTGGAATGAAAAAAAAAAAAAAAAAAAGTCATTCGAGTCTGACACGCCCTGGGGATATTTTATTAGACTGGCTAAGGAACAAAACAAGCAGCTTTTTTCTCCCCATGTACCAGGAAGTCTGGATTACAAGAAAGTTGCTGTTTTATTCTTTAGATCTATCAACCTCTGTCTGTAATTAAGCATGCTGGGTTTAGAAATCTTGGCAGCCTTTTGCAAATCTAAGTTAAGACAAGTCTCTACGTGTTCTAGTAAATAGAAACAGAGATTAATGTTTCTATTCCCTAGAAACATTATAGTTAGTAAAGCAAATCTTACTGATGGTGCTAATTGCTAATAATAAGGACTCTGAAGACAACTCAATTGCAAGATTACTGTGTTGCAGTTTTTCCCAAATGTTAGTTTGAAAATTGGACCAGAGTCATTACAACTAATAGTGGTAATTTATATGCAATGAATAACAAGCCTTATTATATGTAGTAGGTGTGCCGAGCTAGTTGGCGGCACTGTAACACTGCCACACAGTGACACAAGAAACACAGAACGATGCCATGTATGTTTCTGGTTGCCTGAGACGTCGAAGCCATGTGGATGAACAGACTAAACATTAAAAACTTTTGTGGATACACCTAAAATTGTCTCTGTGTAAACAGGGCCCAAGATAACTTTGCTTTTAAAGAATCAATGTGTATTTTAGTCACTAAAAATATACATCTGGAATGCCCTATAAGGGAAGTAGAGTCCATCCAACTGGCCAAATATTTTATCGTAGACTTCAAATCTCACTCAGCTACACCACTTCTGTCAGGAGGATTTGAACAGAATTCCAGCTTATTAATGTGAAAAATATTTGAAAGAATGTGCGGCACCCTTGATTCATGTCAGACAGTTTAAAAGACAATTTATTAAATATGCTGACGCAAAGAAATTTAAAGAAAAAAACATTATAAAGATATCCACTTATTATGGTATTTAGTAAATAGAGATAATATTAGGAATCTTATCCAACCTGAACGAGAAAACTTCAAGTCTGGTCAGACAGTGAGGAAGAAAACATTGTCAATGTATATAAAAATGATGCAAATTGTTTAAATCCTTTACCCAGAACTGGACATTTTAGTAATAAATTAAATATACCTGTAATGAAAACGAATGTAGACTTAAAACCGAGAAAATTTGATATAAGGTTATAAAAATGTAACATTAAATCTTAATGTTAAACTGCAGCAAGTGTATGTTTATAGAGTAGGGTTCACCAAGAGGGCAGAACACAGTGTTGGGCAACAGGAACTTTAAAACCAAAACAGAAGAACTGAACTCCCTGGGTCTCAAGTGGCGAAAAGGCGTTGACCTTTATTCGTGGAAGCTGTGCTATCTGTCTGGTAATTTGGGCCCGCAGCCAAAAGCACATGGATAGGCAACGTGGACAGACAAAAACTCTTTATGAACTTTTCAAGCACACATTTTAAACACTGCAGATGTTTATCTCAACATTTACTAATGCCATCAATGTCCTTCACTGACCTCACTGTGATCCACTTAGAAATTACATAACCAAAGTGCAACTGGGCACTTCATCTTGATAGCCAACGTGGAAATTCATCAGCTTACTGGACAGGCTCATCAAAATGACATCGAGCCACACTGAGCTAATCCAGATCAAACCAGTCAGTGAGTCAAAAATAACACCTTACTATAGTACAGACTGGAAAGCTATCCAGTTCCGACACATTTGAAACATCATAATTCCTCTTACACAACACTCCAAAGTCGTGACATGTTGAGCAACACTAAGATAAACTAAGACTAAACCTTAGATAACTTGTGCTTCATCTTGGACATAAAAATCAGCAGAAATGCACCGATCAGCCTTTTCAAGGCCTGGTCAGATTTTCATTCCTTTAAGTCTGACCTGCTAATTAAGACTTTTCAGAAGGAGGTGAGGAAATGTGCTGAGCCAATGTGCTGCAAGTTATTTGACTAACACAAAAAATATATCAGACATTATACTCAAAACAAAAAATTTATCAAAGCAGATAAATTTTGCTTACTTACTAGTGATTTTGAATAAATCACTATTTAGTGACTCAAATTACTAGTAATTTGAGTCACTAGTAACTCAAATTACGAGTGAATTTGAGTAATCGGTTTTGCTTTACATAATGAATGTTTATTGCATGGTAAATATTGTTTTTGTGTTTTTTGTGACATATTTTAATCTTTCTTCCCTAATATAGCTTTTGTAAACTGAGGAGCACCTGTTTGCCATGGCAACAAGAGCATCACCTTGCACTGTAAACGGGCGCTTAAGAGGAATTGCCCTCAGATAACCTGAATACTTGATCATGTGTTCCCCTATCACCTCAGTTGACATAGGTTTTACTTAATGATTCAAATGAATCACTAAATTGCTCACTGTCACAATTAACGAAATCGTAATTAAAATGTGCAGTGTGTTCATATCTGCTGCTGTCACATTTAGTCCACCTAAAAATTCAACAGGACGAGCTGCACTTGAAAAGACAGGACTCTTCTAGATGCTAACATGTCCAAGCTAACTGTTAGCTTCACTGTAATGATAATAAAGCCCATGTTAGCTAGTGAAAGACCGAAACGGAAACCTTACCTTTACCTTTCCGGAATTCGTTCTTTAACGACCGGGACGTTTTCATTAAAGGTGTCCGAGACCTCGTAAACAGGATTAACGCCATGCTTTGTGGGCTAAAGTTGCTCCTTTTAAACAGCGAGTTAAAAAGCTAGCTGCTCGACTAGCTAGCCTCAGCTTATACTAGAGGTTAATTAAACGTCCTACTAAAGCGAAACATAGAAACCCAAAGTAATTGAACTAAAACAGTATCAGGAGCTCGTTTATGTGGTCAGTGGAAAATATAACCCCATGTCATGTCCTTCCTTTCCTTTCACGCGCATGACAGAAAGCAGCCGGGGAAGCTTCTGAATGACGTCAGATCTTACGTTCAGCACATGCTTCCGGTTAAGTTTAAAAATAAAAGCTTTTAATTCACCGATAAAAGTCAGATTCTTTACAACAGTGATTTAATATAAAATGCAATTTAATTAGAAGTAGCAAAAATAAATATTCAAATAAAGAAACAAGTCATAAACCATAATTTAGATAAAATAAAATTCGCGAACAGTTAATAAAGTTGAAATAAAAGTCAGCCTTAAAGACTATTTGCTTTCAGCATGAGGCCTTTACGGTGGCCTCATGTCTTTACGGTGTTCCAAATGTGAGGATGGTAATAAGAAAACAAAGCCTCATCATTAATTTTATGCATAACTGGAGGATCAAAACACCAGAAGGAGGTGTTTTTTAGCCACTAATTTGTTGCAATAATTTCCTGTTGTCTTTCTGTAGACGATACACTTGACTCGTCTCTCTCTTATAGACACAGAAACCAAAGGAACTTCTGCCTCTATGAATTATATATACCTTTTAATGTAAAAAATAAAATAATAAAAAATAAATTAATTAATTAATTAAAAGAAAAAAAATCTCAGCAGCACAGTCACAGTGAACCAGGTTCTGCTGGATGTTTCTTCCTGTTAAAGGGGAGTGCTCCTCTCCACTGTTGCTACATGCAAGTTAACAAGGACGGATTGCTGAAAATTCAGTTACTTAACACAATCTGCTCGGTTTCCTCAGGTAAAACATTTCACCAACTATAAATGAGCTGAACTTGACTCACTGCATGGTTGTATTACTACAATAAAATCGAGTGTGATTGACTTTTAACGTGTCTTTATGATTAAACTAAATTGGTTTTATATTTCTGTACATCTAGTGGCTTTTTTGTTTTATTTATTTGTTTATTTTTATTTCATTTTTTTTTGTAAGATGGCTTGAGGACACACCCACTGTCAGCACTATGTAAATTAACTGAATAAAAATTAACCAAATTAAGGATTTTCCAATATGAAACTCAAACATTTCAAATTCTGGACAAACTGAAACAGAATCCTTTGACTCAGACCTACAGTGTACACATGCCACAGAGAAAAGTGCCAAACCACAAGGTGGCGCTGTAACCGCACTTTCACAATATTGAAAGACTTGTTTATTTTACATTTCAATTGTTTAACCTGACCCAGACTTTTAAATGGCTTACTGAGGATTGAGATCAGGGATTTGTGATGGCCACTCCAAAACATTAACTTTGTTGTCACTAAGCCACTTTGTAAGTAATTTGGTGATCTGCTTAAGGTTATTGTCCATTTCAAAGACCCATTTGTGTTCAAGCTTTAAATTATCTTAATATTTTCTTATCGTGTATTTTACCAGTTCCTCCGGCAGCAAAATTCCCACACTGTCTGACGACGCCACCAAAATACTTAACAGCTGGGATGATGCATTCCTTCAAATGATAATTATGGCCAATCACTTCAAGTTTAGTTTCATCAGACCATGGGACGTATTTCTGAAAATAAGGTTTTTGTTCCTGAGTCCAAGGACTATATTTTTGGCTTTGCATGTTGTTTTGGCAGTAATGGAGTCTTCTTCTATGAGTGGCCTTTTAGCCTATGTCAGTGCTGAACTTGTTCCACTGTGGATATGACTCATCTACCAACTACAGTGGGGATCTTCACAGAGTCTTTTGTTTTTGTCTTAGTGTTGACGTAGATGTTCCACATCAAAACATGCTCATCTCGACATTATGACTAAAGGACATTTTAATGGTGTTTGCATACAATCATTTTGAATGATGAATGAGGCAACTTCAGGCATTTGGAAACTTGATGAACCAGTTTTATGGATTTCCACAAGAAGTTCTAAAAGAAAACTTATGGCCCTATTTCTTTATGCATTCAGTTTGATTTTTGTGCAACAACAGCAAGCTCGTGCAAGCCTAGTGTAGCGTTGTTTTTGTGTTTTGTTTTTTTCTATGGATGGAGACATTTATAGAAATGATTCCATTGTTTACAAGGAACTTTCCAAAAAAGACAAATACATTTTTAGAGTTTGGCCTAAAACTTTGAACATGTTCAGTCTATCTCAATATGTATATATATAAAAAAGAAACTTGTGTAAGTAGACCATTTTACTACTACTCTAGGGCAAGGGGGCCACACACCCCTAAATCCAGCCTGTAAATAAGAGCCAGAAGACAGGAAGACAGTCCACAGAACAGGGTGAGGTCAAACTGGGAGAAGAAGTGGAGGGAGGAGTATGCGTACCTTGCTGTTCACCTGGACAACAGACTGGACCGGAGATGCAACAGTAAATACAAGGCACTGTGGAAAGAGGAATTATTCATACAAAGGAAACATTACTGAACATCCTCGTCATGAGACTATCATACAACAATAGAGTATCATACAACAATAGAGTCTTCAGTCAGAGGCTTCTTCAGGTTGCTGTAACACACACTGCTACAAGAGATTCTTCCTGCCCATTGGCATCAACAACAGTTCAGAAGATCCTTAGATAATATGAGTTACAAGAACGTTTTATTTCCCATTGGGATTAGCAAAGCATTTTGATTTCAATTATGCCACCAATAAAGCTAGCAGTAGACTGCAAAAAAACGTTTTCACCCGAAATTATTATTGACTATAAATGATTCAACAAAAGCTGGTAAAAGTAACCTAACAAATAAGCAAAGTCTAACGCAAAACTTTCATATTTAGAAAGGCAACTATATATGAATACAATTCACTTCTGTAGGTGAGTTTTGATTAAAAGTTTTGATTTTCGGTCATATCTTTATTGTATTTAAATGACGTGCGTTTCAAAGTATATTTGACATTTTACTCTCGACATTTTGTGCATATTTGTAAAATTAAAAAAGAAAAAAAAAGTAGTGTGAAAGCAGAGAGGGGACACCGAGGTCAGCTCCTTTCTACGGTTGGATTTTTTTTGAAAGAACCGGTTGGATACTCGCAGCTCTGCTCGCGACCAATCGGAAGTGAGCTTTTTTCCCGCTGGTCGGCCGCGGAGTTTGAGTTTCCCGCAAGCTTTTTTATTCGACTTGAATGAAATGATTCGCTTTCCAGGATGAATATGAGCAATTTTTCCCTTTAACCACCCTAGAGGATATTCGACAGGTAAACACAGAGAAGCGGTCCTTTATGACAGTGTCAGTCCGAAGCTATTTGCTAGGATGAGTTTTTTAGCGGACATTTCTTCAGGCCGGGCTTCCATTTTAGCAAGCCGACTAACTATGCTAACGTTAAGCTAGCAGTTTGGCTTGGCTTCTATGGTACGCTCAAGTTAGCCACGGTTAGCTTTCTTGCAACAAGCTGTCATGGCGCCTACACTTTAAGAATGACTTTGAAATAATGGCTAAGCAACTTAAACACATTAACCCCCTCGCCGTTACTACTTCCGTTGTTTGTCAAGGAGTTGTTTGAGCTCTTTTGCTAATAAATTTTCCATTTAGCATTTTGGAGGCGGCTTTGTCTATTTGCTGGAGCCCGGTGTAATGGCTGACTACTGATGACAAGAGATGCGGCTCAATAGGGAATTTCTCGGTTGCTTGAATCCATGAGATTTCCAGCATCGCTCCTTTCTCTCCAGGTTATAGTCGGAGCCTTTCTTGCATGACATGATAGCTGAAGTTCCTGTTTCTTGCTAGCCGGTAAAAAGCGGGTGTTTTGACGCCGACTATAGTATTTTAGCCGTGTTCTTGTGCTGCTACTGGTAATGTTACCCGCATTATACGTCAATATTAATTCCATTATTAACTGAAACGCGTTGACTTTCAGCAATTATTCGGCCTCCGGTTCGCTCCGCTCCTGCTTGTCAGCTGCTTCAGTTTCCGCGGCTTTTGCAACGATTGTTAGTGGCAGTTTTCACCACCCACTCACTGGGGCTTTTACCGAATACGGGGAAGCCTTCACCCTGCTTGGCCCCGGTCTGCAGCTAGCACCATAGCCGCTCTTCTTCCAAGGGAATTCAGTAATGTCGTGGTGAGAGAATTTCCGGCTACTCAGTGTCCTTATTTGATGTTTAAAATGGATATACTGAACATAAACTGGAATAGACCTCGTTAGTTGTGCTTTTCCACATATTTTTATGTTAATAATGTAGGTTTTAACGTTCTAAATATGCCGTTTGCGTACATTTATGTGTAAAATCACGTCAGTTTATTGTAAAATTTCTAAAACGCCGTTGCTTAGAGATGAATTTACTGTTGCAGTGAACTCTCAGGGCGACCCTATGCTGAGAGGGGCCCTAAATAAAATGTAATTTTGGGGGCCCACACACAGTTAAGCCCTCCAGACAGCACAACGCCACTGAACTCCCTTTTTATATTGTCCATGCTTAATCGTTTTTCTGTTCTGAACTTTACAACGTGTCTACAGTTTAACTAATGAGCCAGTAATGTATTAAATTGGATAATGCAGGCTGCTTCTGGGCCACATCTGGCAATTTAGATGTTCTGGATGGTGGAAAAGCTAATCTGAAGATGAAAAGAAAAAAACAAATGTTAATTTTGTGTGTGTGTGTGTGTTTTTTTCTTTTTGGGTAGCTGCGTAGCACTCAAAAGAAATACTTGGAATTCAGTTTTCAATGTTATGTCTGGTGGTCGTGAATACACACCTTGCATGCAAATAAGACACACTGCCTGTTTTTCTTGTTTCAGCTTTGGGCAAAATATCCTCACACCTGACATAAATGATGCTAAAGGTTACAGAGTGTGCTGGAGGCCATGGTTTACTGTTCCAGTTTCCCATTGTGGTGCAGCACAGTCATTAAAAAAAAGAGGGAATTGCAGGGAATGTTTCAGGCTTCTTTGTTTTCATTACTTTTAGGTAAGGTAATTTTATTTATATAGCACATTTCCAGCAACAAGTCGATTCAAAGTGCTTTTCATGAGTTAAAAGGAAATACAAACAAAAGTTTGTTTGTATTGCTTACAGTTTCACCTTAAAAAATCAGCCATTTTAAAGAGGATGTGCAAATCAGGCATCATGTCTGATCTAAAAGGAATCAGCCTGTTGTGTTATA